GATCCCTACAGCACCTCAGTAGTTGCATTTTGCTAACTTGAAAATAACCCATTTCTGCTTATTCTGTTTCCTATTGGTTGACCAATTCTACGTCAACGTTAGTATATCACCATCAACATGAGGAGCTCTTTACCCATGCCTTTACATGGCACCTTATCAAATGCCTTTTGGATATTCTAATGCACCAAATTTACTGGTTTTCTTTTATCTACCCTGCAATGATTACATCAGTGCTGTATTCAATTCTGGGTGTAACGCTTTAGCATCAATGTCACTGCCTTTGATAGGATGAAAGAGGAGATTAACCAGAATGGTACCACAAATTACAGGCTTCAGTTCTACGGAGAAAGATAGAAGCTGGAGTTGTTCTCCAGCTGAAGGGCAAAGCAAAAAAAAGTTAAGATAACTTATGGTAGAGGTTTTCAAAAACATGAAGAATTTTCATTAATAAAATTAAAATCATTAATGAAGAAACATTAATAATGGAGAAAAAGTGTTTCCACTGGCAGAAGGACTACTAACCAGGTGACTCAGATTTAAGATAATTACCAAAAGATGTTTTTAAAAATCAAATGTATTATGTTCTGGGATGCTTTACCTGAATGTGGGTGGAAACTGCATTGTTGAAGCATAGTATCATTACAGTAAGAAGTCATTCAGAAATCTAGAGCCATAGAGTCATGCAGCATGGAAACAGACCCTTTGGTCCAACTCATCCATGCCAACCAAATTTCCTAAACTAAACTAGTCCCACTTGCCTGCATTTAGCTCATATCCCTCTACACCTTTCCTACTCATGTACCTGTCTAAATGTCTTTTAAATATTGTAACTGTACCTGCATTTACCACTTCCTCTGGCAGTTAATTTTCCATATTCAAAACATCTCTGTGTGAAAAAGTTGTCCCTCAGGTCCCTTTTCAATCTTTCCCCTCTCATCTTAAAAATATGCTTTCTAGCTTTGAACCCGACCTTGTGTGCGTGCTGATTCACTGGAGGAGGTTTTTGCCTAATGCCACTGCTTGGCATTTTACTACAGCCCTGTAAAGACTTCCATTTCAGATAATGATCCAATTTCCTATTCAATGGCATTATTTAACCATCTCAATAACACTTTACAGTGCTGCTTTCCAGATATTAACCACGTACTGCATAAAAATATCTTTCATTATGTCAAGTTCTTTTGAATGCTACCTTAAATTTTTGCCCTCCAGTTTTGATCCTTCCACTACTGGAAATAGTTTTTCCATATGTACTCTGTATAGACCACTCATGATTTTGAATATCTCTACAAAATCTTCTCCAAACATACTTTTCTCCAAGAAGAACAACCCTGGCTTCTGTACTTTTAATTGTGTACTGAAATCAGAAAAGAACTGTTTTTAAAACAAGGATTGCTACATGGTTTGAATGCAAGTAACTTGACACTAATTGTGAATACTATTTGTACAGCTGTGGGTTTCAGCAATGGTTACATGCAAACTGAAGCTGACGGTTTGTGTACAAATGGAGCTTTGGATGGCAACAAGTAGCAGATTGATTTGTCAACGAGTGATCAGTTAGCATAGACGAGACTTCTAACTGGCAACAACTATGCAATGGGTTCTCATGTGGTTAAACAGTTTGGGACTGTGAACAAGATGGAGAGAGGCCTTTGGACCTCCATCAGTTACCACCAGTTTAAGAGCGATCTCTCTCTGCAAATAATCCACCTGAAGCATGATGATGAAAATAATTTTATCTTGTCTTCAGCAGTTGCTGTAAGCTGTGATGATAAGTCAGAGAGTTTTCATAAGTGAACCAGCTACTCTGTACTTCTTGCTAATCAATGGAAGCATCCAGAGAACAACTGAAAAGCAACTTCTGACCAGCAGAAGAATCATAGGAATCATCTCAGCGATCCTTGTGAACTGCTTACCTAGTGATCCCTTTGTTTACTTCCCTGTACTTTTACTGTCTGTATCTGTATGTGAATAAAGGGGAGTTTATAAGGAGATTAGAGTTTTAACTAGTAGAGTCATATGCTGATGGTTCATAACTATTTACCTGTAGCTAGAATCTAATTACTTGTAATAAATAGTAACTTTTGTTCAGTACAGAAACCTAGAGTGTGCTTTGTCAACTGGGTCTGGAAATCAGGTGAATTGGCGAATCTGCATATTTTTTAAAAATCTTAAACTTTTGTGATAACTCTGGGAATAGCGGGTCTTGATTTCCACTGCCCCAGCGAGGCATGACACGATTGAAGAGTAACATTCATGACAGCTTTGGATAAATAAGGAAAGACTATGAAGAAAGATCAAGGGAGTGTGACTCATTTGATAAATACGGTGAAGAAGCTGGGCAGCCATGAAGAGGTGAATGGCACCTTCCAACTGTGGGCCATTTATATCTGTCTCTGCTGGGTAGATGAAACATTCCTTGTTCCAATCCTACTTGGTACATAGTGAGATCATTGGTGCTGCTCCCCTCTCTCATCTGAAATTGGAAAATTGTATCCATTTTGCTTCCAATTTCCAGCTTTTTTTCCCATTCATGTCACTCATCTCTGACTCCTCCCTTCCCTTCCTTGACATTTCTGTTTCCATTTCTGGGGATTGACTCATCACTGATATCCGTTACAAGCCCACCGACTTCCACAGTTACCCTGACTATAAATCATCACATCCTCCTTCCTGTAAGGAGTCCATTCCATTCTCTCAGTTTGTCTGTCTCTGTCACATCAGTTCTGATGATGCCAGCTTCTGTAGGGGAGTCTCCGACACGTCCACCCTTTTTCTCCACCTTGGATGCTCTGCCAAAATGATTGATAGGTCTTGCTGTCATGTCTGACCCATTTCCCATATTTATGCCCTCATCCTTACCCTTCCCTCCCACAGTAACAACAGGGACTCTCCTGTCCTCACTTTCCACCCATGTGCCTCTGCATGCAAAGGAGCATAAGCTGCCAATTCTGCCACTTCCAGTAAGATTTCACCACCAGACATATATTCCCTTCCCCTCTCTTGTCCACATTCCACAGGGACCATTCCCTCCAGGACAGACTCATCCACTCCTCCAACAACTCACCACACCCCAATAGCACCTTCTGGAGAAGCGGTAATTTACCTACAATTTATCTAAGCTGTCGAGAAAAATGACATCAAACTTCCACTTGTGTGCCACCTCACGCACCACTGTGTTCTTATTCCAACATTTCAGTCTCAGGCCTGCTGCAGTGCAGTGCAGGGGAATTTGTGACAAAGGTACACAGAAAGGCCACACACACGCATCAAGTCCTGAATTTCAACAGCAACCACCCCAACATCCACAAACGGAGTTGTGTGATAACACTATTTAAACAAGCGACAACACACTGCAGCAACCCGGAACTACGCCAAAATGAAGAATACCTCTACCAAGTATTTAAGGCCAACAGATACCCGAACAGCTGGGTCTGATTATGCCTATCACACAAACAACAACAGGAATATACAGTATGCCCTGACACACCCATCACGTTACCATACATCAAGAACATATCCAAACTGACCACAAGACTCCTACGACCATTGGGCATCAGAGTTGCACACAAACCTACATCAACCCTATGCCAACTGCTAACTCGAACCAAAGACCCCTTACCCACTATGGACAGAGCCAACGTAATATACAAGATCCCATGCAAAGACTGTGACATACATTACATTGCACAGACAGGAAGGAAACTGGCCACAAGAATACATGAACACCAGCTAGCAACAAAAAGACGTGACCAATACTCACTCGTCTCCATTCACACGGATAAGGAGAACCACCTGTTTGATTGGGACAACATCAAGATCCTAGGACAGGCCAAACAGGGACAAGCACAGGAATTTCTAGAGGCCTGGTTCTCCACCAAGAAGGCCATCAATAAACACGTGGAATTAGACCGTATATATACACCATTGCGAAGAAAAAACGGAAATGAGGTAACCAATTCCAACGGACCCCAGAGTTTAAATACCAGGCGGGAATCGGAGGCTGCACTGATGATGCTACCCAGCAGGGTAATGAAACATGTGTGAATTATTGAACCAGCTCGGTGAACGAACCAACCACAACTGAGTTTAACAATTTCATAGAGTGGACACCTTCCTCCATGTTTGTTACCCATCCCCACACCCCTAGGTCCTGTTATGTGTGGGTTTTTCCAAGCACAGCCATCATATTTTCAACTATTCACAGTTCCCATTAGCATTTATTTTTCCACTGGCTTGTCATCAACTATCCCTTTGTCTGTTTCTTTTTCCCTCCCATCTCTGGGCACCTTCTCGATCTATTCAAATCACTCCATTCTATCTCAACCTCACATAGATACCCCAAAGCATAAATACCACCATTTTCCAGCTGCTTTTGGTTCTGACAAAAGCCACTAGACCCGAAATACTGAGATAACAAGGTGTAGAGTTGGATGAACACAGCAGGCCGAGGAGCAAGAAGGCTGACATTTCGGGCCTAGACCCTTCTTCAGAAATTGGCTTCGCAGTGGGGTTAAAATTGTTTCAGAGATAGTAGGAACTGCAGATGCTGGAGAATCTGAGATAACAAGGTGTAGAGCTAGATGAACACAGCAGGCCAAGCAGCATCAGAGGAGCAGGAAGGCTGATGTTTTGGGCCTAGACGCTTCTTCAGAAATTCATGATGCTGCTTGGCCTGCTGTGTTCATCCAGCTCTACACTTTATTATCTCAGATTCTCCAGCATCTGCAGTTCCTACTATCCCAGACCCAAAATACTCACTGTTTTTCTCTTCGCAGATGCTGCCAGACCTGCTGAATTTCTCCAGCACTTTTTGGTTCAGATTTCCAACATCCTCAGTTCTTTGTTTCATTAGGTTAATACCTGAAGGCAATGGCAAATGGCCCTACCCAGAATGCTCCGCGAGATAGAATAAACTTTTTGCATCAGAGGGCAGTTCTGCGCAAGCGTAAGACTTGCCCACCTCCGAAAACCGCCAAACCGAGTGACGCATGCGCGTTGCGACACCAAGTGGCTGAATGCGAGCGAGTAAATAATCCAGGTGGTCGGCTTTGTGGCCCCGAATCGGAGTCACTGGGTCACCCGGGGAAGGGGAGAACCATTAAAGAGATGGTCCTGTTCCTTCCCGATCCGAGCCGCCGTCTCCCGGTTTCTTCTCCCATTTTCACCGAGTCCGATTTACAACAAAGGGACGGCCCTGAAACCCATGTGCATAGAGCGCGTTGGATAGAGCGATTTCCGAACCATGCGGAATTGTGGGAACGGCAACCGCTATTAGCCCAGCGTTTCGTGTAGTATTACGAACATACTAGAATGGAGATTCTGAAGAAGGGTCTGGACCTGAAACGTCAGCTTTCCTGCTCCTCTGATGCTGGTTGGCCTGCTGTGTTCATCCAGTTCTACACCTTGTTGTCTCAGATTCTCTAGCATCGGCAGTTCCTACTATCTCGGCCAGAAACTGTTGGGTTTAACCCTTAAGTACCTGTGAGTATAATCGCGGCCATAACATTTCAGCTATAACATTGTAAAAGATGGTACATTACGGGGATTATAGGATGCCAAACCTTATTCTCAAAAAGTATTGGTTTAGGTACAAGTATTATTGAAGAGGCTTTTAAACCAATTGTCTATGTACAGGTTTTATAAAATTAGTTTTATCGATTGTGGGTTTTTATGACAACACTCTTTCTTTCAGTCATATTTTTCTCTTACCTTCATGACAGATTCCCATTTCATTTAGCTTTATTTGCACAATTTGCCTTTATAGTTTTGTTCATTTTCACTCCTTTTTGCTGTTTTACATTAATTTTACAGAATACCAGAAGCAAAGCAACAGAGGACAAGAAAACTAGGCCTAACACCACATCAAAACCTGAAAGAGCCCTTGAAATTGTCAGAACATGAATATCATCAGCCTTTAAATGTGGCTAAATATTTGTGCATTCTATCTGTGGAAAAAAACTAAAGTGAGATTGTTCAAATGGAGTACTGTGGAAAGAGCTTTTTATCTAAAAGTACATCACATGACTCGTACCCATTTTCTGTCAGTGCACAAGGCCTCAACTGATTGTCCAACCTGGAGAAACACAAGAACGCTCACACTATGGAGAAACCGTGGAAATGTGAGGACTGTGGGAAGCAATTTAATTACCCCTCAAAGTTAGAAACTCATCGGCGCAGTCACACTGGGGAGAGGCCATTCACGTGTTCTGTATGTGGGAAAGGATTCACTCTGTTGTCAAACCTCCAGACACATCAAAGGGTTCACACCGGGGAGAAACCATTCATCTGCACTGACTGTGGACAGGGTTTCACTACATTATCCAACTTGCTTAAACACCAGCGTATTCACACAGATCAAAGACCTTTTAAATGTTCTGACTGTGAAAAGAGCTTTAAAAGCAGAAATGAACTGTTGACACACCAACGCACTCATACTGGCGAGAAACCATTCCCCTGCTCTCTGTGTGGAAAAGGTTTTACTCAGTTATCACACCTTCTGAGACACCAGCGAGTTCATACTGGGGAGAGGCCATTCAGCTGCTCAGCCTGTGGGAAAGGATTCGCCAATTCATCTGAACTTCTTAGGCATCAGCCAGTTCACACTCGGGAGAGACCGTTCACCTGCTCCGTTTGTGGGAAAGGATTCACTCGATCATTCACCCTGCTGAAACACCAGCGAGTTCACAACTGACATAAGGGATTGGATTCTGGAGTTCTTGCTGTCATTCGTCATTGCCTGGAATGTATTTTACAAAGCTGAATGTAGTGCAGGAACAAAGAGATCTAGAGAGGCAAATTGCACCCCTTCCCCAGGGTGCTTATGTGTTTTTTACATATGGAGGACAGAACTGTGTAAAGCACTCGAATTATAGGATGGCCACGGTTCTAACATAATTTCATTACCTTCAAATACCTATACATATGTAATAAGACAGAATTAATTATCTTGTAATAAATCTTGTAATCTGGTAAAAGTGATCATAACATAATCAAATTTCACATTCATTTTGAAGTTGAGAAATCTGAGTCTAACACTTGGCATTTCCAAGAGTGTGTAGACAGAGTTACTAATAGTGCAGCGGGAAAATAGGTTAAAAGATAAAATGGTATGAAGCAGCGGGAGGTGTTAAGGAAATATTTCAACACCAGGCAAAGATATATTGCATTAAGAAGGAAATACTCTTTGAGAGACAGGCACCACTAAACTAAAGAATTTAATGTAGAATAAAAATAGAAAATGCTGGGGAAACCCAGCAGGTCTGTGGAGAATGAAACAAGAGTAAATGTTCAAGTACATATGAATGTTCTTCAGAACTAAACGGAGGAGCAGAAAGTGATGGGTTTTAAATGGTAGAAAAGGATGGAGATGAGCAAGTGGAACAGTGGTTAGAGGTTGAAGGGATATTGTTGATTACAAATGGAAAAATGAGCGTGTATGATTGTAAAGAAAAGAGAAGTTCTGAGTGGGTGCAAATAGTAGAATATAGGTCAGCTATGCCGAAAGCAAAACCAAGAAAAGCAGGTACTGGGTTGGAATGGGTGGTTCGCAGGCAGAGGAAACAAAATGGAGGACAGAGCTCATGGTCTGAAATTGTTGAACTTGTATTTGAATCCCGAAGGCTGTAATTAGCCTAAATGCAAAATGAGGTGCTGTTCCTCCAACTTGGACTGGGCTTTGCAAGGATACGGGACTCAAACAGAAATGTAATCGTGAGAATAAGATGGTGTTTTAAAATAGCAAGTGACTTGATGGTCAGTGTTATGCTTGTTGACTGAGCAGAGGTGTCCTGCATAGTGATCACCTTGTCTGCTCTTTGTCTTGTCAATGTGGAGGAGACCACATTGTGAGCAGTGAATACAGTACACTGGATTTAAAGAAGTCCAAGGAAATCACTGCCTTACCCGAAAGGAGTATTTGGGACCTTGGACAGTGACGAGAGAAGAGGTAGAAGGGCAAGTGTTACACCAGCAATTGTATGAGAAGGTGCCATTGGAGGGAGATGAGGTTTTCATAGGATGATAGACAAGGATGTCACAGTGGGAATGCTACTTATGGAATATTAACATGGGAGGGTTGTAGCGTTGTGCTGGAGATGGTTAAAATGGTGGAGGGTGATCCCTTGAATATGGAGGCTGGTGGGGTGGGAAGTGATGACAGGGGAACCATATTATTGTTCTGGGAGGAAGGGGAAGGGATGAGGTCAAAGAACAAGTGATGAGTTAAGCATGGTTGAGACCACTGTCCAGCACAGTGGAAGTAGGTCCTCAGTTGAGGAAGAAGGGGGACATACCTGAAGGTAACTTCATCAGAACAGAAAGAGAAACTTTGGTGTGGCCATGGGTATTCACATGAGTTTAAATAGTGCAGGTGAGATCAGGTTCCCCAAAAGTGCACTTTATGCTCCATTTCCTGGACTAATGAAAAGGAAAACTTTCAGAATTGGGGTGGGACTTTTCCATTTTTAGAGGTCCTTGGAGTCTCACCAACTCCATAAACATCTAGCCCTTTATGTCTTCTTGACTACTTACTTCACTACGTATCACACATCATTGAAGCCCCAGTGCTGATCCCTATGGCACTATTATTAGTTACAGCTTGTCAACCTAAACCAAAAATGACCCATTTGTCCCTATTCTCTGCTTTCTGTTATTTAATCAATCTTCCACCCATGTTAATATGTTACTGCCTAAGCCACGAACTTTTAATTTGTGAAGTAATCTTTGAAATGGCACTTTATTGAATGCCTTTTGGAAATCATGGATCTATAAGTTCCCATTTATTCATCTTCTTTGTTATTTTCTAACTAACAAATTAGTAAACGTGACTCCCTTTCAGAATTGAACTGGCCAAGTGTAACAACAAATTATAGTTATCTCACAATGACCTTCACTATTTTGACATGGATTATAATCATGGAAACTTTCTCGGTGATGACAATGTCGTCGACAACAGAGACTAGCTGCAATGCTTCGTTAATAATGCTGATGCTTCATGTTGGTAACATTATAACAAGAATGCATATTTTTATTACTGTATCTGAATAGTTGTGAGTCAAAGGCTAAGAGTAGATCAAGTAGGAAATGAAAACAGAAATAGCATCACTCACAGACTTGAAATGCATTTTGAGGTATTTTGAAATCCAAACTGGAATTTCGTACTAATTCTGATTCAAGAGAAATTCAAGCGTGAATGCTCACGGGTATAATCCTGTTGAATTGATGCCTGCACCATGACAGGTAATGACAGCCACCCTGGTTACCAGCAAAGTAAATTGTCCACTTGGCAGGAGGAAAACATCTTTCTGTTCTTTGTCTTCAGGATGAAATCTTAAACTAAGTCTCTGTCTGCTCTCTCAGGTGACCATTAAATTCTGTGACATGATTTGAAGAACATCTGGTGTTCTGGCCAATGTATCCCAACAAGGTAATTACCATTAAAACAAAAAGTGAAACTTTGAAGAAAGAAGCAAAGTTTAATGCTTTGAATCCAATATGACTAATCTATGGGACCCCAAAGGTCTGTGTTGCTGTTTATGGTTTTTAACCCTGTGCAAATTTTCAAGTTCTTTTCTTACTTCATAGCATTGACCAATAGCCTGCTTAGAAAATGTGTGGCACACTGACCATGTTGTGCTAGGTGCTACATAAATCAAAGCTTTTTCCCTGCGTGATCCATTTAAATGATCACTGACGAAATATTAGATCCCAGTTGGAGTGTTGTTGACCAATGACATTTTAATAAATTAATTAAGATCCTGGGGGATTGGGGTACGTGTGAGATTGTCAGGTCGCCCATGCTTAAAGATATAGGTTCATTGTGAAGTTAGTGTGAAGGAAGAAAGATTTTTCATTATAACACAACTGTAATGAGATCAATGCCTAAATGGCTGCTGGAAGCGTGTGGAAACCATGGAGAACTGTGATGGTTTTTTTGAAGACAAAGTGGACATTGAAAATGCTAAAGAAACAGTGGCAGCCTTGAAATTTTATGTAACTGTTTTCATGTTATGAACATGCCCAGTGCTTGATGATACATTTATTTTAAAAAAAAAGGTTGATCTTAATGTCTCTCTGTCTTTTAAGAATGAAGGATGAGTGGAAACCGACTTCTGAAGTCAATAGAACAAGTTTGTCTGTACTTGATAGAATTTGATGGCACGAGCAGTATGCTACCTGGGCATATACTTGACTGACAACATGAACACTGCTCTTTCAAATTATATTGATGTAATTTTGTTTCTACTTTACCACAGGTTGGGATTTCTCCTTTGGCGATCACTATAGTTACAGGATCAATGCAAGTTGCTTGAAATGAGATTTGAAATGACAATAAATCGATTAATAAGATTGATCACAGACATAAGTACCTAAATGACTGATGATTTGATGTTTGTAATGTGTATAGGTATTCGTTTCAAAGTGTTTGTCAATGTTGTAAAAATTGCATATTCATTTGGTTTGGGTAATTATGTGACAATTGAACATAACTCAGTTGCAATCAATGTGGTATTTACAGGTTTGACTACGACCATTGTACAAAATAATGACCATCCTTTGCACATGTTACACCATTGATGTAGCATAAGACTAAGCTTTGACTGCATCATAATTTGGAACCCTCCTCCTATATCTTTCCAGCAGTCATTGTCAGAGGCAACCTACATTATCTCTCAGTATGGCTGAAAGTTTTCTGTTAATCTTAAGGCTGGATGGCTCATTTTGTCAATGTTTCACACAGTATTTTCCTTCAAATGAGATGCGTCAATTGCACTCAGTCCATGTTAGAGAATCCAAGAGCAAGTGTTCTCCTTGGGTATATAAGTCAGGATGGACATTTTTCATTCATGTGTCTGATTTTGCAAGTATCCACTTTTCAGGTAAGCATTTATTGCTCTGTGTAAGGAACAACATATTTTTCCTTTTGGACTACAAACTCAAATGGAAATTGGACACTGCTATGTAGCTAAAAGATACCAGGTGAGTTCTTTTTTAATTCTGAAACTTTAAGATCAAGTAGGATTGTGTGGTGTACATTTTAGGTGTACAATTAATTTTTTGGAGTAATGAGGTGCATACTTTGTGACAATGGCACCAGCAATCATTGAGTTAAGGAAAAGCTGCCAAACAACAGCCTTTGGTCTAGCTGCAGTTTGTTACAGTGAATGCAGTGGAAGACACATCCAGGAGCCTACAAACAAGGAACATTACTTACCATTTCTCTCTGTAACCGAAAAGACAAAAATTCTACAGACTCTTTAGAGAAAAGAATTCTAATACAAGAAAAGACTTCGGTCCACCTGAACGGCTATTAAAATGAAGATTGACCATTGGCTTTGCAGACAATATTGTGTGACCATCACTGGAAATTATCAAAAGAACTGTGAGAAACAACTCCCTTCTGCTTTGGAGTTTGACTTAGAGCATTTGTCTTTATTTTTCCACCTATAATGTTTCTAGCAAACCATCTGTTTTTTCTGTCTTATTTGTTAATTAATCTGAGTTTTAACGTTTTAAAGCTTGAGCCGCATACTGGCAAATTAGTTATTGTCCTGTGCATCACGAAATCTACTGTGAATTACTTCTGTCCTGAATTGCAGTCCATAATGCAAATCAATTATCTTGGTTGTTTTATTGGATTTGTGATGGATTATGGAAAGTGGGGCTTGATTATAAGTGAGTTATGACGTGATTACTATTGAGAACCTGAATAGGATGACGATATAGCAACTTGAAAATGTGTAAAGCACTGAAATTTTATTTCTAAAACTGTAATATGAGCTTCAATCTTCGTCTATCCTGGGAATGGGGTGGGTTCAGGTCAGATGGAATTTAATCCCACCCAGTTGATTTCAGTCATAAAATAAATTGGGGTGCAAAATGGGCGTCCAGCAGATAAGGTTAAAGTCAGATCTATAATTAGTCTAATGGCTAGACTAAGTAGTGGGTGATAGATAATACAAAATGTGATTACTTTGAAGGATTTGTTAAATACGGGTTTACACTTTACACTCTAATAGTGACATGCTGTCAAATTTCAAGTAATGCTTTGAAAGGAAAGTTGATCTGAAACCATCCTTGGATAATCTTTAAAGAAATCAATTGCCTATAATGCCATAAACAGTATCTTTTTTTCCCAATAAAGTGAGACTTTGAGGCATAATTTACGTGAAATGAGAATCCAGTAAATAGTATTAGTCAGGGCAATGCCCTCTTAATGTACCGCTGTTCAAACAGACGTACTGGATTATATAGTTGCAAATAATGACTAAAGCATCGAACTGCGAGATTTTGGTATTGGTACTAACGTCAGCAATACCTGACCAATGAAGGAATTTTAAAGCGTTTCCATGAGAATGTGCTGATTAAATTCAATATGTCTTGTAGTAAGTCATTTTTCTAAACAGTAACACTTTGCTGTAAAATATTTCTCAATCTAATGGTATCCTGGTGTAGTTTCATTAATATATCTGAAAATTGGTTTATCAGAAAAAAAATCAATCATCTATGAATGAGGAAATAACACCTTACTGAAAATGTCTTTAAACAGCAAAACCCCAAAACTGGATGGATAGCAAAGTCAGTCCCTTTGTTCTCCTGGGTATCTGGAGAATGAAAGGATGGAATATAGCCCCTTTTAGTTGGTACTGGGGGAGACTGACGCAACCCCTACTCCCGGCTGTATTTATTATTTACCAACATCAGTGAGTTTGAGAAATCAGCAAGGACAAGTTCACGTGAAAGAATTGTAGGTTTCTGGAAAAATAATCCCCTGTTTAACCACCGTGCTGATGTTCCCATTTGGCAGGTACACTACACATAAACGTGTGTTAGACTGAACTTACAGATTTGATTTTAGTGGTCAGTTGTTATTTTGCCAAGTATGAATATTCATAGCTTTGTTTATTTGATTTTGAAATTGTAGAAATTGTTGATTCCTGTTGAAATTTTATGTTAGTGTTTTTGTATTGAGCATGCTTTCTCCTTATTGAAGTAATTTTTAAAGCAACATAGTTGATCCTGATAGCTATATTTTAAAGTTACTGCCAACAGAAAGATTTTCTTGATGAAGATAGAATGCATGAAAATTATTAGTATCAAAGTTACAAATGTAAAATGATATAAAGTACATACATATTTAACTTAGCGACATCCTTGTTGGTTAACAGGCGACCTGTGATCAAGCACCCAATACATGCAAAGTACGTCAACTGGCAGATGTGGTCAAGATTGATCCCATGGGTTTCTCAGCAACCCACCCAGATGTTAGTGATGAATTTTGTTAAAACAAGTTTGGAAGAAGAATAATTAGATGTGAAATGTTAACTCCTCTTCTGTCTCCACAGATGCTGCCAGACCTTCATTTTCTGTTTTTATTTCTCATCAAAACTTTTGATTCCTTCACTAGGTAATCAGTTCTTCACTTTCAAAGACACTTCCTCTAAATTTTCTCAAACATCACTCCAAAGTGGACCACTTCAATGACTTTTCTTCCTGATAGTTCAATCACTTCCCCGAGTCCATTTTCCAATGGAATTCCTGATGCTGCATGCCCAGTGTCCCTTATGTACTAGAATGGCGAAGATTTTGGCTACTTTGTATGAGGCTTGTGCTTCAAACTGTTTCCTCAGAGAATGAAGTGTTATAGTGTCCTATTGCTCATCAGATTCAACTGCTGGCTTTCAGACTAGTTTTGACAAATGCAACACATTTCAGTAACACTCTGCAACCTTGGAGAAGGTGCAACAGGTTTATGAAACCCCTGTTTGTTGCCAAGAAGGTGAGATAGGTAAAAGTGATCTGAAGGGCCAAAGATCATCTCAATGTTGGGAGAAGACAGTTGCTCAATGCTATCTGACATCGAGGTCAGGGTGTCAGGGCTCTTCCCTTTTCCATCTTCCTTCCCTTTCTGGTCCCCAGCGTCTGTACACTCCATTTCATTTTCCCTCATGTGCATATTTAGCTTTTAAATGTATCAGTTCTTTTCAGCTTAACTATTCATTTGAATTGTTGACAAATAGAACATACTTGATTAACAAAAGAGATGTAGTCTCCTCAGGGTCTCCTGTTACAGAAATCCCACAGTAAATTCACAATTGTGATCAATGATTATGATGATTTTGACTGAATCACAAATAGATTATGGCACAGAAGAAGGCCATTCAGTTCAATGTTTATCCACTGATATTCTTTTGAAACTATTATGAGATTCGTATGCAGGAAATCCAAGATGAAATCGTTAGCAATTCAATCCATTTTGTAATGTGAGGGTGACCTTAGGAATATTGGACAAATGGTTTCTAAACCTGACATGGCAATAGCATAAGTTTATATATCTGAATAAATACTTTTGATCTTTCTCCAGGTCGTTCATCTGTCCCAATTTATGCGGTCCTTTGGGAACAGGCCATGCTGCCTTGTACCTGTAAAGGGAATGTTCCAGTCTTGGATGTACCAGTATTTTGGGGGCTATCCAACTATGAAAATTTTTACAACTTCGTCCATTGAAACCATTACTTAGTACAAGAATCAAGATCAGAGACAGAACAACTGATGTTGTGACCTTTGACCTCGGAATCAGACCAGAATGAGTATGTGTATCAGATTCTCAAGAAGATAGGCGTGAATTTTCATTGACGTTCATCTCTCTGTAACAAGTTGTCTGTTTCAGGTGTTCTGCATTTAATATTTAACTTTTATGGAAAGGGTAATACACTAGTTATTTTACTGGATCAATAAGGCCTAGACTAATAATCCAGAGAAAATGAGTTCAAATCCCAGCATGGTACCTTTAGAATTTAATCCCGTTTATTTAAATAAAAATCTGGAGACATAGAGCTGATCCAAATAAAAGTGACCAAGCCCTCTTAGGTGGTCTCCCACATTTAAAACTCTGCTATCCATGTCTTAGCTCACAGCTAAAACTCTGCTATCCATGTCTTAGCTCACAGCCAAACCTCTCGATGTGAAACTGAAGCAGTTAACTCACTGTCCATTAGTCTCTGGTTATCGGGATGGTGGATGTGAGGCCCCTGAACCTCTCTGGCAGGCTTTACAAGGCTGCTTCTTGGTGTGTATCCCAGTAATTCCAACATCCTGTGGGAATTTTCTACATTGCTCCCTGTATCTGTGAACCTACATTCATCCTGATAATCAATTCTCTTTACAGTCTTGCACCTTTCCATGTCTATCATTTCCTCAAGCCTGAAAATCTGAACAAACTCTGTGCTTCTTCAATGTTTGCCTCTTGAGAAACTGAAATTTTGATCTGGAAGTTATGCCTTCAGGTGGATGGACACTGACGACTTCTCTCCATAAAACTCTTGCTGCTACACCAGCACTCTGCTCATTTAACTTGTTT